GTTGAATCATCTGAAAGTGTTGACATTTCCCTTTTCTCAACCAAACTGACCCCGTTCAAAAGCTTGTTTACATTCAGCACTAATAATAAAATGAAGACTTGTGTTTGTTGCATGCGCTTTATCGTATGCGTCGATATATCAAGTCACCTCCAAGGTCCATGTTGCCTAACGTGCAGCCACGAGAAAAGTTTCCACACCATCTATTTTAATAAAGTTTTGAAATGTAAAAAAATCAAAAAGATAACGTTTTATCAGACGCAAATGAAGTTAAATGTCTCCCAAATAATTCAGTCATCATAATGGCTCTGGGAAAGTGTTATCTTTGCTATTCTGCATAATGGCTACCATACTAATTACAGCAATTAGAACTGCAGCAACCAAATTGAAATTCTTTTACGGCCCTGCTGTGAGTATTTGTATTAAAACATCTTCAGATTTACTTGTTTTAATTGCCTGAATCCATTGCCGAAATAATATTTTGTTTATTAGCTGGATGGTCCAGCTCTAATTGATACTGTTTTTTCTTCATCGTAGTAATACTTTTACTCAGAACACGTTCAGCTGCTGGGATGTTTTTCTTTTTTTCTGACATTTAGTCTCATCAACAGAGACGATGTTGAATGGTTTCATTCTAAATAACTTCCATCAGTTTGGTGGCAGCATTGAAAACGACCAAAAAACTTCAGGATAAAAAGCTACTCTTCTAACCTGTTTAAATGCTTTCCACCGGGGATATTAAATCACTGGTGAATTGTTTTAGAATATTCCAACGTGTCATGGCTTTTGAACTGAAGTCGAATCGACTTTCACAAACAGATGACGGCTTTTGCTGTAAATCTACACCACGGATGGGTTTTTATTAAACTCCTCTGGCACGTTTTGATAAATCTTTATTTCTTCCTAATCACTTGTGACAAGTGTCACAATTAGAGATGCATGTCGGCGTTTGTGTTAGCCATAGACCCTTGTTCCCTGCGACATTCCTTCTGCCTCGCTATACTGGAGTGAGACGTCTGCCTCCTGCCCTGTCACTGTTTGGGGTTCTAATGAGCTGAGCCCTGACAGGCTTTTGCATGTATGTGGATGGGACTTCGCCTGTCTGTCTTTGCAGGGAGAGGAAACCAAACCCACCTTGGAAGTGATTATCTTCTCTGTTCCTAAACAATTTGCATTGCCTATATTAGTATTTCTGTTTCTCTAGATAGTTTCATGTAATTTGCTCAGCTGATTAAGATATTTTTCAATAGATCTGCTGGGGTCTCTAGTAAGAATGAATGCTTTGTGAGCCATCTTCTGTAGGAATAAAGCTCTGCTTGTTTCAGGAAGTTTGTAAGAAGAGTAGGGGTGGAAAAAAGCAGATCTTGGAGTCTTACTCAATATTCATAATATATGAATGTCGCCTCTGATTGGCTGACAGCATTGTAACTCTTGTTGCTTTGCTTGCTGTTCTTTGCAACATTGATGTGTTATCACCACAAATAACACAAGCAGGTTATTTTTTTACGCAATGTTGTAAAGTTGCTAATTGTTAGCTTATACTAGCTGAAATGCGCTCTGCTGTTCTTGGCTGCAAAATCAATAGAGGCTTCTGCAGTTACAAGCCAAGCCCGGTGAGTTCATGAATGCAAATTTTCTGTTTACATGCAGTTAGAGAAAACTGAAATATGTCTTAGTCTAACCAAAATTGGCTAGAGCTGAAACCAAACTGGTTGACTGCTAATCGAGTTTTCTCTCTTTCGGGAATTTATAAGGTTTTTCTTTTTTTTCTTGGTGAACCCCCGTCCTTTAGAGCTCTCTGCAATTTGAATTGAAATTACTCAAAGTACTCAAATAGTGTTTTTACTAAATAGTTTTTTACTGTTAGTGGAATAATGTTTTTAGATGGCTACCTTTTATCTTTTACTTGATTATAAATATTGAAGTATTGCTACGCTTACTCAAGTGATATGCTTTCGGCAATAATGAAGCATCTGTTTCCTTTGAGGTCGTAGGGATCTACATTGTCGATTGTATACAATTTCAGAAAATGATCTATTGCCTCCTTAAGTTTATCTCTGTGAGGGATGCATTCGTCCTTGTTCTTTTTATCCATCCTTTTGACTCTTGTGTGCAGCTTCAACTTTGGCTGTGGCTTCCCCTAGTGACGTGAGTCATGCACTCAAGGTGGCGCCAGGGGGTGTGGCTGGCAGGCAGGTCACGTGTCTGACAAAGACAGATATTTGGGATGTATTGTGCAGACCTAATAGGAGCCTATTGTATGATTTTCTACGACTTGTTCCTTCTTACTGTACCAAGGGATTGTATTGAGTTTGGATGGAAAAGTATTGAGATATTCTGCCCCCGTTTTTGGAATTGGCTCCATAACCAGCTGACTCTGAAGGAACTCCTCACTGAATGAACACTTTAAATGGTAAATGGCCTGTATTTGATACAGCGCCTTCTAGAGTCCTGGAACCCCCCAAGGCGCTTTACAACACAATCAGTCATTCACCCATTCACACACACATTCACACACTGGTGGGGATGAACTACAATGTAGCCACAGCTGCACTGGGGCGCACTGACAGAGGCGAGGCTGCCGAGCACTGGCGCCACCGGTCCCTCCGACCACCACCAGCAGGCAACGTGGGTTAAGTGTCTTGCCCAAGGACACAGCGACAGACTGAGCGGGGCTCGAACCTGCAACCTTCTGATTACGGCGCAAGCACTTAACTCCTGTGCCACCGTCGCCCCACTTTAAACATTTTAGACACACAAACATCTTTCTGTAAATATTGTCTTGAGGTATGAGTCTGATGGTGACTCTGCAGCACAAAACTATTCAGTATAGCATCTGATTTATTGTTCAATTTTAATAACTTTCTTGTTTTTCTTTGTGTGTTTTACATAGTTGTGCAGATTGAGCTTCTGCCTGTCTTGGTCGTTCTTGTAAATGGGATTGTTATGCCCCAAGGGTCTTTCCTAAGTAAATTAAGTTTAAGTAAAATAAAATGATATTTTCTTAATCCCAAACAGAAGCTTCCTGTGAGCTTTTTTCATTCCCCAAGTTTCAATTCTTGGTGAAAAGACTAATAAGCCACTTAAGTTCATATCTGTGTCAGTGGTAGGGCTGGACAATATAGAAAAAATTATATCGATAACAATTTTTTTTATATTGATCGATATGGATAATAATTGAAAATTGTTTTAAAAGTAGTAGAAAAGACATTTTACGTGCAGCCCTCGCCGCTTTATTTTTGGTAATTGTATATTTTCTCTCACCGAGGCATCTAGCTCCCTCATGCTCTGTTTTGGCTTGATAAGGGGAGGGCCTGGTGACGTAGTGTGCCCGAGTCTGTGGTTTTCAAATCAAATCAGAAAAACTTTATTTATATAGCACTTTTCATACAAAAAAATGCAACTCAAAGTGCTTCACAGATTAAAATGGCCCCATAGATCCCATATTCCCATCCCAGACCCCCTCCCCAACACTTCCCCTCCCGCAACCAATTTCCAAGGTGAACGTACACTCACCCACACACTCGCACACACACACACACACGTGATCAGCAGAGTAAACAATAGGCCGAGTTCAGACGGGTCAGGTAATGGACGACACATCATCAGCGGAGCCATCTGCCTCGACAGCAACATCCACGCCAGCAGCCAAGACACCGGCCCATGACGCCCAGGGAGGGAGGGCGGAGACCCCCACCACTGCCCGGGCTCTACCCGAGGAGAGCCCCGGCCGCTGCCGCCGACGACCACCGGCCCCAAGGCAGAGGGCTCCACAGAGGAAACACTGGAGGATTAAAATATATAACATGTAAAATAACAAAAGCTAATATGGATAGAAAGTAACTGATAAAAATGGATTATAAAGATGGTAAAAGAAAACATAATCATATAAAAACACTAACATGTAAATAAAATAGTAATATCAAGTAAAAGAGATTACATATATATATATATATTTGTTTATATATATAAACAAATACGACAAGCGATAGTTAAACAGACTAGATAAATAGTAATAGTAATAGACTAAAAGGTTTTGATTGTTAGGAGTAAGTAGTGAGTCTAGTATGCTGCCACCTGATAGATTATAATGATAAAAGGTTTTAATGAAAAAAGGAAACTTTTTTATCAAAGTTTTATCAACCTTTATTGGTCCTTCTGCACCACATGTCTATCGATAGATATATTGAACTATTGAATTATTGTCCAGCCCAGTGGTGCCACGTAGTAAATAAAGGGATTTTTCTTGTTTCTCGTCAAAGAAGCTCATTTCTTACTTTAAATGTGTCTTATGGATTACTCAAATGGATTACGGTACTCAATTACTGTGTGTATTGTCAAATGATGAATTTGCCAAGGTTAATGAATTTTGTGCATGGGTTTAACTTTTTCACTGTTAACCATAAAACTATATAAAAAGCAAATTTTCACATCAGAAAGCTGATAGTTTTCAATAGAAATACCTTTTATTTAATAGATATTCATATTTTTCTTCCAGACTCTTAAAAATTCAACAGTTTGGTTAATTCTCTTTAGCTTAAAGAATAAATTGGAGCATTTTAGATTCATTATTGCCAGTTGAGTTACCTTTCTCAGATTTTAAAACCACTAGAAATGGTCCAACAGCTGCAGAATATTTGCTCACTTGTTTGTAGTGGTTCCGCCTCAGCCAGTCGAGGGCTGCTCTCTGCCTCTCCTGGATGTGTCACCAGTAATTGCAGCTTTTTTGTCATCTCCCGTGTGGATGACACTGAAGTGGTGCTCTGGCCTCGTGCCTGAGCTGCAGATGTTTATTTTCAGGGTGGTTATTGTTTCTTTTAGGTCAGTTTGATATTTCAAGCCCTGGCATCCATTCCGGCCACCCCATCAATCGCACATTGTACACTCAGTCATGATTTTACCATTTCATCCCATTTCCTGCTACCTTCCTTCTCCCAAATTACCCATCTCTTTTACTCTCCCGTTATCTAACCTCTTCCTTCTACCTCTGGTTTTTGCTCCAGGCCGTGTTTGACGTGGATAACGCAAAAGGTCTGACTCTGATTGAAGTGTGGGAGGGGCTTACTCCTGAGGATATCAAGGCATGCACAGGCACAGATTTTGAGGTGAGGATTGTGGAAAAATTGGTTACAGCATAATATATTAGTCAACTTAAAGTTTTCCTTATTTTTCTCTTGGGATCTCATCCAGGTGTCTCCTAACCTGAGGCCCATGCAGCAGATTTAAAGGAGGTTGCAGTGAAGATGTCCTTTGGGCTGCGTCACCTCATATCTGTGCTCAACAGCAGGTGATCTAACAGCATAGGTTAGGTCCAAATGAGCTCTTGGAACACAAACGCTCCGTTCGGTTTCCTGGTAATCATCATGCATATATCAGAGGGATTTACTCTGCAGCAGCAACAGCTACACGCACCAGTGGAAGCAAACATTCATGGTTTTCTTATTGTGTCATGTGATAATCACACCGTTAAGAAAATACGTTTTACTGACGTGTGTGCAGCTATTACCAAATCATCTGTTAGATCATCGCAAATTTGAAATACTCTGTAAGATCAGTGTGAATATGGGGCTTTTTAAACGATGCAATAAAATTAAATCACAATCACTGTACATTTCCGTTTATTTGATCAAAAAAGGACTGATTGTACATCTTAGAAAACAGTTTGTAAAGTAGCTCATTAAACGTCTGCTGCACCATTACGCATCTTTTGTGTAACGACAACTTTTGTTGTTAGAAAACTGAAGAAAATGCAGTATTGTTGGTCTGGCTAAGATCTGTTTGTAATCATTATTCCTACCAGAATGTGAATTCCTCTCTTCTCAGTATCATTCAGACACAAAAAATAAGCCGTAGCCTTTTTAGTGACATTTGTTTCCTTGTTTGTATACAAATGACATAAACCTGGTCTGCAAATCACAACAAATCAAATTTATTGGCTCTTTTTTTTTTGTGTGTGTGTGTGTGTTTTCAGTCGAGATAAACCGACAGCGCTTTGTATGTTCAGTCTGCTCACCTCATCAGATTCCATTGATTGGCAGCAAATGACCCCTCAGATGAGTAATACAGGTTAGAGCCTTCTATATATAGGCGGTGGGCTTACATTGACAGCCTTGATGTGATTTCTCCACTTGACTAGCGAGGCACAGTTCTCACCTGGGGGCTGTTACATAAACGCGAAGTTGAGCCGGTGGGCTTTTTGGGTTCAAGAAGATCAACTAGTTTGGATCGTCAAGCAGAAGAATGGAAGAAAGTGACAGGGGCTTTTGCCACCGGCTGTTGATGTTAGTCCAGCACACCCCCTCTATGAGTCAGACTCGAGCGGTACCCGATAAGCCTACATTTAGTAACCTATTTCTCATCGCTGCGTTTTTGAAGGATCAAACAGAAAGGTTCTGTAGGTTAATCCTGGTTCTGATGTTCAACCATGATGGACGGAGCAGCCGATTTAAGCCCTTGGGTTTGAGGCTACAGGGTTAATTATACATGAAGGTTAAATGACAAAAGGCATAAGCATCTCAAATAACTGCTGCATTCCATATAGTACTTATTTGGCTTTAGGGATAAAAGGTACCTGTTTATATTTGACAGACCTGTACTTTTTTATTTGCGGATGCAGTAAAGGATTTCTGCAGGTTGTTTTTGATGCGTTGCAGCTCTTGACATCAAAAATTGTTCAAACACAACCAAATGGGAAAGGGACTCAAACAAATAGTGAGCAGAGAAGGCCACCTCTGTTTGCAATGTGGGGTGTTCAAACACTGCATATTTAAAGGGACGTTATGGAAGTGTGACAGCCAAAACATGTATAGAAATAATAAATGTCTTCTTCATACATTCTCCTGCAATGCCCTGGTCCTGTAGAATGAGCCCTGGCATTTTTACTGTGATTGCCTGTTTTTCTGTAAAATCACAGAAAAAGAGAGATGCTCGGGTCGAGCAGGCTGCTTCATGCGCGTTCACGCTCAGGCATCGCCCGTAGCATTTGCTATCCGTAGCTTTAGCAGCAGAGAGAGAGGCAGCGCCACTTTGTCGCTGTTCCTAACGCCTAGTGACAAAGCTAGCTACATTTCTGAGGACCCTTAGCTACTTTCTGTAGAACTTTCTTCTAGATATTTCCTGCAAATTAGCAACAAAATAGCCATTTTAGCTCCGAACCGTTCTTTGGTTTGACGTTGTTTCAGCTGTCATCAAGGATATAAAAGTTACAGATGCTGTGAATGTTACTAGAGTGTAGCTCACCTTGTAAGACATCTGACTCTCATGCAGAAGACCTGGGTTTGATTCTGGGTGTGAACATAGTTCATTTAGAGTTTCTTTTTTACATTAATGGTATATTTTTTACAGTAAGTTGCCCAAATTTTTATTTGAGACTCGCCGAACGGCATTGAATTCACAGATAAAAAAGATGTGGGTTCAACTTTCATTCTGGAACAATTTTTCAAGCAAGGGAAGGGAATGATCTGAGCATGCAGGAGGACTGACCCATCATAAACCTTTGTCGGCTGTGCTGAAGAGAAAGGTACAGAACCAAATTATTTAATTAATTAGCTGCACGTTCTCCTGTCCTCTGTCCTCCGGGCCACACACACACACACACACACACACACACACACACGGGACTGTCTCAGCTGTTATTTTCGTTAAGGAGTGTGCACGTACAGCATGCGCGCCTCGTGCACGAGCCTACTATTGAAGCTGCCGTTACGGTTTTGGCCTGAGGGGGCAATCGCGAGCATAAAAATTCAAAAGTCCGAAAAGTCCCTTTAAATAGTGCAGGGTCTTTTTTTCCCAAGTGAACTCTTGGAAATATTTGTTTTCTGACAGACCTGGATGAAAATAGACACTGTTCTGTTACAGAAAGAAAAACTTAAAAAGTAGCAACAAAAAAAAAAACAAAATAAATATTTTTAGATTAGCCTGTAAATGAACTGTTATTTGAAAAGTGTGATTTACATCTTTGTTGTGTTCTTACTGTGTTAAGTTTCTAATTCCATTTTTGGTTCTTTTTAAAACACAGGAAAGGTTTTTCTTTACCTTGCTAACGTTTCGTTTGCCGACTGCAAAACATCCTCAGAGCTGACGCTGATGGTGGCGTCACTTCCTACACCGTTAATCCGTGGGCAGCAGAGGACGTTGTCGCCCTGCTGCTCCAGTGTTATCCAATGTTTGGTTCTTAGCCTTTCCTCTGTGTATTTATGGAGACCTATGACCTGCAACTAAGACCAAGCTCTCTGAACATGGGCAACACGTTTCACTCCAGAATGTCTTGAGAGTTTGTTGGTCTCCGAGCAGCAAAGCAGCCCCAGAACAGAAAAGAGCTCTAATCACTTTGGAAGCTTTTCTTGAATATTCAGCATCTGGATTATTCCCTGTTTTCAGTTTGTTCATAATTGTCCTCTTGGTGGCACCCAGTATGGGTACAGGTCTTAATGTTCTGTATGTCAATCTGTGGAACGTGGAGCTGCTTGTGGATGGTCTTGTAGTCTTTACCTTTTAACGCGCTTCGTCATTAGTTGTCTTTCTAATTTCCTGAGGCGCCTCTCTTGGTCCGTATTCAGTGTTGTACACACCCTGAACCCAAACAGCACTGCGACTTTACCTTTCACCCTGTAAAGAGGACTGACAATAGCGGGATTGACGACCTATGTGATGCTAGCAAGGACGTAATTTTCACTTTAGAAGTGGGGGGGACACGTGGGGGGGGGGTATCTTTACAGTATGTTCTAATGGGAAACCGGCTTCAACAGTTGTTTTCCGCTTGGTTCTAGAGCTCAGCCAGTGTCAATTTAATACAGCGTAATATTATTTTTGGATGGTAAAAAGTGCAGGGGTCAAAACTTGACTTTGGAAAAAGTGGGGGGGACATGTCCCCCCTGTCTCCCCCCCCCCCCCCCCCCCCAAATTACGTCCATGGATGCTAGTCACAAAACTTATTTCACTATGGCCAAATGATCACTTAATTTTACTTTTGAAATTATTCTATTTAACAAGTCAAAAGTAATGCCACATATTTGTTAGTTGATTTTCAGTAATTATTTGACGCATTGGTACATTTGCCTGTTTCGTGTCCCTCCAGTGGCCATTTCAGTTTCTACACCAACAATTTTTATCCTGTCAGCTGATTTTCACTGCAAATCATGCAGGATATTTCATGGCAATGCCATTTTATTGCAACAATACTATCCTTTTGGTATTTGAGCTCTTGAAACCAAGTACAATTTTTTTTCTGCAAGGACAAGCTTGCAGAATCACATCCACACTCTCCAAATTAGACGCTGGCTGAAGAATTGGATAGCTAAGTCATGCAGCTGTCATGTAGGATATGAAACAGGTGCTTCTGGTCGAATATGATGGTGCATGTAGTTCTGTTAGAAATAATGAGATAAAAAGCATGTTCTGCTGCAGCTATGTGGAGCTGCGTGTATAAATGAAACGCATATGTGGGTTTGATCTCCAAGTGTTGCCGTATTTGGATCCGATCGACCGCATTTTCCTTATTGTGCTGCCCGTCGAAGCTCTGCTGCTCAGTAAGGGGGTGTGGACACGCTAATGTGTGTAAGAGAGGGAGAAGGAGAGGTTCTCTGTGCATGTGTGCGCGCGCGCGCGCATGTGTGTGTGTGTGTGTGGATAGAGTGGCAGAGAGCGCGCGCCCCGGCTTGGCGCAGACACCGGTCCGGGAGAACGGAGCATCGTGCAGAGTGGCAGCATGGCTTCGTCTCACGGGAGAAGCGACCTGCGCTTTGCGGACTGGATGGCAAGTTTACCGCAGAGCATGCACAGTGTCCCGCTCACCAACATGGCCATTCCCGGTAAGGTGTCTCTCTTACGCCTGTCCGTGCCAAATCTCATGCGCGGAGGATGTCCAATTGTTTTCATCCCCGCGCATCTGTTCTAGTGCGTGTGTAAAAAAAATCATTAGATCCTTTAGCGACATTTAAACTTTGATGTTTTACTCTTTGCATGCGTTTCAACTCTTCTAACCCCTTAACATTGCGTGACTTTACCTGAGCACCGTTAGAACAAAGGGTAAGACCTGTTGCGCAACATCAGAAGAGTCAGGTATCAGTTGAGCGTTATGGTGTTAGACAGCTATAAATAGCACCAGGACCGATTTATTGTAGAGACACTGCAGGACCCAGAATGCCAGTTTTTAGGTGTTTGTATTGGGGGTGGTGCCCAAAAAGGGGGGATTAGTTTAATGTGCACTCATGGTTATGAGCTGTTGGACCGTTTAGCCAATCAGTGCGCAGGTCTCTTAAACTCCATTCAAATGAGGAACGCTGATGTGACTGATCGCATGGATTATTAGCAGCCAGTTAATTCCACATCTGCTGCGCTGATAATTTAGCTCACCTTCACATAAAACTCGTTCTTTCCTTCCCCCTTCTTTGCACGTTGGTGTTCTTCTCGGCCTCTCTTTTATCTTTCCTTCATGCTGGACAAAAAAAAAAAATACATCTGCAGCTTCTTGGACACGTGGAAGTATTGTGCTTCAGTTGGTTTAGTGTTTAGTGGTCATTGAGGCGTGGCGTCTTACCAGCATGACCACAGCTCCTGGAAACCTTTGATTTGGACTTTTATTTAACCATTCAGAGAAAGAATAGCATCAGTGTTTATGCCAAAGCCCTGTTCAGAGCTAAAATGTGTCCATGCCAACTAGAGGACACATTATGTCCCATTTAATTAGACATCCTTACTTCTCCATGCAATTTATTTATAGATAGCCTACGAATCATAAAACAAAATCTTGCAACTCTCGTGTTTGCTTGTGGATTTGGCATCATGTTTGCTGAGATTTAACCCCAAATCTTCAAGATTTTTTTCCAGATCTTATTTTAGCAGGAACCACGTGTTTTTATGGTGATGCACTTCAGCTTGCTTTCATCATTCCACGCCTCCTCTCGTGTTGTTTTGCCTTTTCTCTGATTTATCCGTTTTTGTGTGCGCAGGAAGAAGTTGGGAGATTGAAAATTTGGTCCGGAGTAAGGCATTTGAACAGCTGTAATGGCAGGATAAATCCCACTCAGATAGTGCTTTTACTGTATATTGTTGAATAACAATGGTTTGCCACTCTGCTGCAGCCAGGGAATTCACAGATTATAGACTGTTGACTGATTGCATCTACATCCCAAATGTGTCGTAGCCTCTGACTTACATCTGGTCTTTAAAATGGGTCGGTTCTGATGCCGTAAAATAGTGGACATCCACCTTTGTCTCTATTGAGTAACCAGGACCGTGAATCAAAATGAATCGATTTTCTAATGATTCACTCCGAGGATTAGGAGGTTTATAGACAAATGGATGACCACAATCAAGTCTGAGCTGGAGGTGGTCATGGTGAAACATTGGTTAGTCTCAAATGACCTTGCTTTATATGTGTTATAAAGCTTTTTTTGGTATTTAAATAAAGTAAATGCAAAAACAATTACATGAAGGGCTTTTAAAAAGTTTTTGAACACTTAAGTTTACTTTGTTTTCCCTGTTTATCTGAAGGCAATGCTAGCTGAAAATGCGTTGATGAACAGAGTGACCGAGCCGTGACATAAGCCTTTATGAGAGGCTTCAAGTAAATGGGAGCCGCTCCACTCAGAACCTTGTAGGTTACTTGAATTTAATGCAGTTGGCTAAGGGGAGCCAATGAAGCTCAGTGAACAGAGGGGAGGGATGCAATTAGACTGGAAATGAGGGTTTCATTTATCAAGGGAATCCAAACCAACTTAATTCTGTTAGAAAAAGAAATTACCCCTCTTGTTTTAATGGGAATGACCACATTATTTGAGTAGCAGAGTTCAGCTTTTCTAGCCACACCCAGGCCTGATTACTCCAACACCACTAGAATTAGAAATCACTGCAATACAGTTTCTCAGATCCCATGAGGTAGGCTAAAAGATTGCAAAAAGCAATTCCTCATGCCACGTTCTAAAGAAATACAGAACGCTACAGGGGGCAAAGGTTGCAAATGTAGGAGAGTTGCAAGGCCAAAACCTCTACTCATTAAAAATAACTCAAAAGCCTTTCTCACATATGCCAGAAAACATTTAGATGATCCACAAAATATTCTGTGGACTGATTTAATGAAATGGTCACATTACAACCAACACTGCCTTTTATAAAAAGAACATCACACCAACTGACAGACATGGTGTTGGTGGTGTGATGGTCTGGGACTGCTTTGGTGCTTCATGACCTGGAGGACTTGTTATAACCGAGTGTACTGCAAATTCTGATTTTAAGTAGAAAATCCTGAAGGAGAATTCCTGACTTTTGACCTTAAACAGACCACTCGTGCTGGAAAACCCTCCAATAGCCGTGCTTCCTCTAAAGCAGTTCCAGGGAATTTCTGGGAGGGGGAAAATTGACCTGGGAACACAATGGCTCAGTTCCTTCAGCTGTTGTGTCTCCTTACAAATTAAGCCCTTTCAGGACTTTGATGTCAACATATTGCCACTTCTTCGGCAGTGAGTGATGTCACTGATGAGTGTCAGAAAGCATCCTTGGACATTAATAACATTAAATGTTTTATTCCGTCAAAGTGTGCAGTCATTTAATCCATTCGGAGGACACTTAGAGCGGCTGCAGGATGTAATTGCAGCATTAAATGACTTGATGAAGTGCCGTTGTTTACGGTGTTCTGTCAGACAACAAAGAAACGTGAATTACGTTGTTTTAGGGGGGTTTCTGCTGCATTTTTTGGTGTTGAGCGTTTAATAATGCAATTAGCAGCATGAACACAATTTTCCTTTCCTTCCGTTCCACTTTACCAGGAACTCTTCCAACTTTACAAAATCCAGTTGCTTTGGGCGACATCTGCCAATGTCATTTCCTACTGAGGTACAACCAATCGGCGTGAGTAAACCAAAGTTATGCGACTTTACCGGTCCTTTCCGATTATGTACCCCAGCGTAGACACTTATTGGTTCCGGAAAATGGTCGTTTCATTTGTCCGTCTGAAGTGGAGACATGCGCGTTAAGTTCTGGCAAAAGTACCGTCACGTTCCGAATTTTGGAAACACGCCTAAAGTTTCAGATTTCAAACAACTTTACAAAGTAGAGTGGGACAAAAGCTATTGAGCATTGTGAGAGGCTCAATACCAGTTATCGCAGATGCTTGATTGCAGTTGTTTCTGCCAAGGGTGTAGTTGATACGTTCAGAAGTTAATTTCTTTTTCACTTAGCACCGTGCTGGTGTGGGCAACTTTTTTTTCCTTAATAGTCAACTTCACTGAAAAACATTTTTGAATTATTTTATTTCTGATTATGATCGGTCACTCTGAATTTTTCATGCAGGCTATACATGAAATAGTCTCCTACACCTATCTCCTGCATTAGCTTCTGATAAAAATTGACAGTGAAACTCTAGCATTTGAAAAGCCTGGCAGATCTACGCCACAATGTCACTTAACTTTCTCGACTCACCCGTCTGGACTCGTGAAGGGGATGGATGTTGGTTTAGCGTCCAGGAAACGGCAGAGAATGTCTCGGCTAGTAGAAGTTAACCATTAGCATTAACATCTCCTCCAGCAGAACTCCTTCAAGCTTGTGTAATTTATGGAGATAGAACATCAACGTTGCAAAGCAAATGGAGTCAGTGGTGTAGTCACATTGCCATTTTCCAATCCAAGATGAGATGTCCAAATGTCAAGAAATAAGACTCCAAATCTTGCCGTCTGAAGCTCACTTCTGATCTGGCTCGCTTCTAGTTCCTGAAACAGATGCACCGGTGCTTGTTTACCCAAGAGTACGACTTAGAAGACATCCATTCCTACTAGAGACCACTGCAAATGTATTAAAAATATGAGTATCGTTGACCTTTAATAAAGGATATCACCTGTTAAAAACATCCTTTTATAAATATTTTTATGTTTAAATGTATTCACTGACCTTAAAAACTTTTATTTATAGTGGAGATGACTACCCATCTCCAATTTGGAAAAAGAAAACAAATAGGGTCAATAAATCTTTAGAATCAAAGAGTCCACCTTTAAATAATCCGGTCAATAAGTTCATCATAGGCAAGAATGACAGAAAACCTCTAAATCCCCAGCCTGCAAGTACTTATTCCCTCCTTGCCCTTAAACTCGCTCCTGCACTGGCCTCAGTCTAAAAGTGGGCACATTAATAAAAGAGCAGGTTTCATTACTTGGTGATCCAGTAGAACCAGATGTCAGTCTTCAGTCTTACATCCTAAGTCATGGAAATCTCTTTTTAGAAACTGCCTGACAGGGGTTCACTCTACTTTTACTTTTCTGTGTGTCACGCTACCTTTTCGTCACACAGTGGGGCTCTTTCTTTTGCTTTTCTATGTTATTCTAGTAGCTTCATTGTTTCATTTGACCAAAGAGGGCCACTGCCGTATTCAGAAAAGAAAGTATCATCTAAAAGTACTGACTGACTTTTAGGTGACTGATTGACTCCCTCTGTCAGTGAGCCGTAGTAATCAATAGACAAAGTGATTGAAACATATATCAATATTTCCTGGTCTTTTGGGCAGCAAGGGGGGCTTTTGTGACTCCAGTAGGCTTATGGAACCATATGGAGTCGGTTTTAACTAGGGATGTACAGTACTGGTATCTAGGAATGCACCGATACCGATTCCAGTATCGGTATCGGTAAAAGTTAACCGATACCAATGCAGTTGCTTAAAAGTGGCTTCACTGTAACTTGTCATTTCTGTTCACCTAATATTTTAGTTTTGTGATAATTTCTATTCATATATTTTGTTTTCTACCTACCTCACAGTCTTTTCCTGTTGAAAGCAGAGAAGAAAATAAAACCTGTATTCCAATTCATTGCCTTTTTTGTGTGGTAG